TGACGGTCTAAATAAATACCGAGTAAACACGTGTTCGACCGAAAAATGTGTTGTGGTAACTTCAATAGAAATGATAAATTAAAAAATATGTACATATCGTTGCAATTTGTGTTTTACAGAAGCAGAGAGTCTCTAACTCTCTCTTCTAATGTTTTTAAAGCTCCATTTCAGTGTAACTCATATTGCTTGTCGCGAAGAATGGGGTGTCCTAAAACATTACGACGAATATTTCTTTCTTGTTTCTAAAAATATGGGCGTGTCATAATGTTGTTATTGGCGTTCAAAACATGACTCAGAACGTTTCATCCAAACGGGAAATTTTACCACTTCAATGCGCTTCATTGTAGATTAAAACCTAATGTGATACTTGTTAGACCAAATTCTATACCCTATTGAGCTATCCAGCAAGCTATTGAAAACTTTACCACTATTTCGTAATTCGCTGTAACTGGCTAATGATGAGAGAGGATATTGCGCCATCTTTAAAATTTTGAAGTTACTCGTTGGTAATAAATTTATACAAAATACGTTTTCAGTTGTTTACACCCTTTCACTCGATGAATTCTAAATAAATAATATGACAAGATAAATTAAATTTGTATGAGAAGAAGTGATTTTAACAGACAGAAATATAAGAATTTAATGAGTCTATATATGTAAGTAGTTCTAAAGGACAGGATTTTTAAAATCAAAGTCGGATTTTAAAATTGAAGCTCTGCAGAAACTTTGAGCCAAAGGAAAGCATCAGGAAGATGTATGATGTCAACAAGCTGAAAAATCCAAGAAGCAAAGGATTCCAACTTAAATTAAGAAATAGGTTTCAGCAAATGTCTGATGACGAAAACACAATCACTGAAAAATGTACCCTTGTGAAAGAAATATATGATGAAACAGCAGAAAAGATCTTGGGCCAGAGGAAAAGGAAACACAAAGACTAGGTTACTGTAGAAACACACAGAGCCATAGATGAAAGAAGAAAACTAAAGGAAGAAATAGGAAGATCAAATTCGGAGAGAATAAAGGAAATAAAGAGAGAAGAACATAAGACCAAAGACAAATTTAAAAAGTGAAAAGAAGAGTAAGAGCTGATAAAAGGGAAAATCTGGAAGATATAGCTACCAAGCAGAGAATGCAGCAAATACAAACCGCCTGAGCGAAGTTTACCAACTGACCAAGCAGCTTTGTGGGTAAAAAAGAAACAGGACAAGTGGTATAAGGTCCAAGAATGGTGAACTAATCATTGAGGATGGAAAAATATTGGAGAGTTGGAAAGAGCATTTTCAGAGATCCTTCATATCCCAACAGAAACAATAGAATTACCCGAAAGATGTACCATCCAAGAAAACAAAAGTGATGAAATTGACACAAAACCAATAAGAGAGGAGAGAGGAAAAGGAAAAAGTCCCGTTAAAAACACATATTCAACAAAAAACAAATTTATTCAATAGAAAAGGAAGATCACTCATTGTCAAAATACCCAAGAAAGGAGATAGACTAGAGGACAGATTAAGAACAGAGCAAGCTGCATATCGAAGAGGAAGAGGAACATCAGAGCAGATTTACATTCCAAGAAATATTTCAGAACAATTTATAGAGTGGCAAGCACCACTGTACGTAAGCTTTGTAGACTTTAAAAAGGCCTTTGACAGCATAATAAGAGAGTAACTGTGGGACATACTAAGGCAGTACGGAATTCCTGGTGTATACGTGGGCATCATCAAGAAATTATACAATGGAAGTTCTAGTTGTGTCATAGAGAATGGAAGAACAACAGACTGGTTCAAAGTACAGACAGGAGTGAGACAAGGTTGTGTTGTGTCTGGGTTCCTGTTTATCATTGTGGTAGACTGGATAAAGAGAAATCCCAGCAATAAGAAAAGAGGCATACTTTGGAAATTTACAACCACCTTAGAAAACCTGGATTATGCAGTCAACCTTGCACTTATTTCCAGCAAACACAGCAACATGCAAGAAAAGACCAGGAGATTACATGATGTTGCGGAATATACAGGCCTAAAAATTAATGTTGACAAAACAAAAGGCTTGAGAATAAATGGAAAGAAGAAGGATACTATCAGGTCAAATGATAAAGAAATAGAAGAGTTCGAAACATTTCTCTAACTGGGTGCCACAATGGACAAGACCGTAGGAACTGAGGCAGATATAGGGAGAAAGCTAGGGTTAGCCAGGACTCATTTCCAAGTAACTATGAGCCCTATGTTTAGCAAACTTGCATGGATGAAACATTTAATGACGCACACTAATGGACTTGCTTTGGATGCTGAATCTGACCTATATTTTATGGATGAGTGAATAGGTTGGAGTTTTTGGAGCAGATTCTTAAGCAGGTATATGCCCTATGTTTCAGCAAACTTGCATGGACGATGCATCTAAGGATGCATACTAATGGACTTGCTTCAGATGCTGGTTCCAACATAATTTTCCAGATAATGGACCAGGTAAAAGTTATGGGTGAAGGTCTATCACCAAGAAACTATAAGGCCTATATTTACCAAACTTGCAAAGGTGATGCATCAAGGGATGAATACTCAAATTTCGTCCAGATGCTGGATTTGAATTATATTTTCTTGATGGGCGACTAATTTGAAGTTTTTGGAAAGGTTTATTCCCAAGAAACTGTAAGTCCTATCAGATCAAAATTGCATAAATTCTGCATTTTGGGATGTAAATTTCTAAAATGTTAGTTAATTGTGGGACTTTGCCTTACATATAGAAAACATTCGTTGAGGTGAGCTCTGTAATCTTTGATTACATATGTTTTAACTGTGTTTTTAATAAGTAGATATATCGACGAACGTAGTTTTAGCAATTTACAATAAGGCATTCAAGGCCTTTAACAATGAAAGAGCTTTTTTCGAATCAACACCTACTGAGACATGGGACCTCGGTTGATACGTCCGTCTTTCTATCTGTTTGTCCGCAAAAACTTTAACCTTCACCATAATTTTAAACCAGTAGTACTAGCGCTTTCATATTTCACAGGTTTATACCTTGTGGCAAGAACTTGCTTTGGTAACCAACAATTTTGACCGTGGCCATGGATTTTGACTGGCATTTGAAAAACTTCAACGCCCGCCATTAGTTGACATACGGGGGTATCTGTGTTCACAAACGTCTTGTTCATTTGGAGTTCGATTGGATAAAACGTATCACTGTCTGAATGAAAATCAGTTTGTCAATTGAGAATATCTAAATGACGAATTGAAAGCCAAAGGAAGATTTTCGGGCTACTAAGAAATTAAAAGGTTAGTAGTTTTTGCTTCAAAAGAATACTAAAGCATGCCTTCTAATACTGGGACTCAATTTCTTCCCTATTCAAGTTCAATGGTCCATTATTTAAGAGTAAAAACGGACCTCTATGATATTTGCTAACAAGGTCATTGTATCCACCATAGGATTTGTAATATATTGATTTTAAACGAGATTGTTGATATCCTAGCTTGTTTCATTAAAATGTTTCTCAACAAATTGCCTTGTTGTAGATGTTGTTTTACGTAGAACATGCTCTTGCATATTGAATCAACTGGCAGACATGGACACCACATACAGGTTTTATGTTTGAAATTAGTCTGTTCTGGAGGATGGATTGTTTTTTCTTCTTTTTTTTTTAATCATTCATATTCCAGTCGGAATGTATTTAGTATGGTGTTACCCTACCCATCCAACCAACCTTTGATCCTTGTATGAAATTGCGAATCATTTGCACATGATATTGATAAATAATAAAGACAGAACAACAATGATGTTTATATTGAAACAATGTTTTATTTTCAATAAAACAGATAAATCATTTAAAGGGTTTTAAAAGTGAAAGATTCACAAACACCTGTATGTTCTTCAATGTGAATAATGTAAACACATATACCAATGAAAGTTTATTAAAATTATAAACGTCATTGTGCAAGACCGAAATTTACAGCTGAAAACTAAAGAAAGCAAATATTTTGGCTTTCACTTGAGACTTTTTTTTAAATTTAATACTGCAAGTATTTTTATATAAACTTTTGAAATAGAAAGTAGGTGCGTCTCGTTTTGCCTGAGAATGAGTAACATATGAAGTTAAGATGACAATTTCCCATATCATGTTCTTCCTTTTGAGATGTGGATGATACGTCACAGCCTTCATCCCAAAATGAAATATACATTGTATGTACAAGTTTAATTTTTCAAACTTTTCTTTTCGAAAAAAACAAAACAAAATAAACACAAAATCCTTTTTTCATCACAAACAAATATAAAATATATTGATATAATTAACATGCCATTGTATTTATGTGAAAATAAACAACAACAATAAACTGCACTTTCCACCTTGGAATGCGAAAATGCAAAGACAAAATGGGATGTTTTCCAATAACATGCGCCATGACATAAGATAAAGGATGCCATGAAAAAGTGTCTTTCAGAACGTTCATATCGTTAAATACTACATCTTTGAAAACAATTTGTTTAGTCATAGTAACATCAATGTTATATGTTAAAAAAGTTTCTACTCTACAAGGCGATTTCTTATATGTCATCATGGTCATCAAGTTTTGATTCCATTCGGAATCTCTTGGCACTTTCCGATAAGCTAAATACTTCAATACTGTCAATTGCCCCTCTTTAAAAGAATCTTGAAATGCTACTACCAATTATTCAACTTCTTTTGCGACATGGCAAAAATATAAAGCATTCAGTTTATACATGTAAAAACCTTCTGTTTCTTAGGAAAATTAAATTGATATAAGAAACAGCTTACTAGTCCATTACAAAATGATTTTGTTTTTATAAAAAAGGTACATTTTAAGATTCTGAAATAAAAATAGATCTACTCAAAAATTCAGTATTTAAACATATGATATTCATACATATGACGGATATAAAATATGCACAATCCAGAAACCAAATCCCTGCTGTTTACCGCTCATGATGATTTTACCCTAATGATTGTATGGAGAAAAGGGTCAGAAAATGTGCATCTACTATTCTTTTTGTTAAAAATCTATTAAATATGTAACAAAATTTAATACGGCTGTTTTGTAGGAGTAATAATATTCTCGAATAGATTAACTCTCCATCCCCCGTATTAATTATATTGTTTCACATCACAAATATTAAAGTAGCACCATTGTGTCGTTAATATGACTAGAAATTTTAAAACCTTTACTGAACATTATGAACAAAATCATTTCTATTAATTCCTACAAAAGAGTCAAGATAAAGGGATTAAATCTTTGAGTAATATCTTAATAAGTGAGTAAGGGAGCATCTATTTGAAACAGGCTGACCCCACCGGTGTACCGATTGAACATGGCAAAATCGTCATCGATTCCTCTTTTAATCTAATCCAAACGTCATTCCTGTGGACTCCTTCCACAGGTTTAATCCCTCGTTGACTAGTACACACCTGATTATTTAATTAACTGACTCCTTAATCCCTGCTTCAAGTCCTGTAGGCGTCCTTAGTCGTTGATTGAACACGGGTAAGGCACATTGAAAATGCCAGTAACATGTGAATATGTATATGTACTACTTTTCACACACTTTATACAAGTCTGTGTCAAACTAGGTCCGTCTCCTGATTTGAAAAGTCAAGCGTACATATCGTCTGCTGATACGGACTGTCTGGAGGAGAACAGTTAGTCCCTGGTCTAAGAATCGAAATTCCGGAATCCGAACCCGAAGAGTCATGCCTATCACTTACAGTCTGAAAGATAATTTATACACTTAACGTCATTACAAATGTCGAAAAAAGATATGATGATAAATATAATATTAATAAATATCTTTTCTGATGCGTGAGCATTGACTCATTCTCCGTAAAAGTAAAAAAAAAAAAGAGATACTATAGTTCTGCCGCACCTTTTTACTACGGGTATGCATTCATTATACTAACTATGGTATAAGAGAAGGAGAAATTCTTTCTGTGCTTCCTTTTAATTCGACTTCATGATTGACTTATGCCAAAATTAAGCACTGACTTTGTAAGTTGAAGGCATACTTTGTAATTAAAAAATATTCTGAAAGTTTGCAGGATTTGGTCAAAGTAGGAAGAGAGGTGTTTGAGGATAGGATTGTTGCTGCTCCCTTCTTAGACAACGTAATACGGTCAATTATTACCGTTTTATTCCCTGTAAAGCAAAATATATAAGTTGGAAAAAGACTTCCGTATATTTTCTTCATGGAAAAGTAAACCGTCAAGTGTCAAAAATAGCGGTTCACACATAAATGTGAAGTAAAAAAAAAAGAGCAAACTATATTTGCTTTACCCTTTCCTCACCGGGATAACTTTAAAATACTCACTGTGGCGTAAGACAAGGGGAAACTATTTCTACTTTACCTTATACTACTGGGATGATATCCTTATACTCATTGTGGAGTAAGACAAGAAGATTCTATATCTGTTTTTATACTTTTTTATCACTTGAATGGTCCTGATATACCCTGTCTGGTGTAAAAGATGGAACAACTACAATTATATTTGCTATACCTTTTCACCACTGGGATGGATGCATTTGGTCCTTAACAGAGGACTTCGTCGTTTGTTGCTTGGTGACCTGTCGCCATTTTGAGCCACTGGCGCCAGAAGCGTAGACTGGGCAGAAGGCGTGGGGTTTATGGGTGATTTGTCATTATTTGACATTTGTCCAGCAAGGCACGAGAGAGGGATTTTATATATGTATTGGGGAGGGCGTAACGTTTTGGCTGAAATAAAAAAAAAACTACTAAAAAAAAAAATAGTAATGCCTTGAAATTTGACCATTACGTACAATTCTATGTAGAAATAAATGATTGTTACTTTTAAAGTATAACTATTGAAAAAAAAAATTGATATAATAGAGAGATAGAGCCCCTATATATTATATACATGTTAGAATTCTTCATAACACTCACTAGATGGTGAGGAGGGAGGGGTGTAGCCTTGATCACGTGACTTTTCTTTTGGGGAGCCTCCTGGCCCAGCAATCGTAGAGAAATAGATGTCACACTAGAAATTAAAAAAATAACACCATATAACACATTTTTATGACATTAAAATACGGGTAAAGCATTGTAAGGTACAAATGCATAAGAAGAATAATTGTGTTCCACATATGAAGAAAAAAAAATTAAATGATTTTAATGACTGAGACGTACTTTCGAGGTGATGAGACTAAGTCCAGGCTGTGACATGGCGTGGACAAGGTTTCCATTGATAATAAGCCGGATTTCTATAGCATCGGCTGTGAATGCCATTACGTATGGAAAAGCACAGACTGAAAAAAGTGGAGAACAATAGAGAACACTATCAAATGTCATGAAACATCTTTAAAACATCTTTTTTGTTTCATTGTTTCATAAGTTGTTTCATGCTTTCTCTTTTACCTATATCATTTGGCTCAGAGTTCCAGTTGAAGTCAAAATCACGTGATGTTTCCTCTGAAAGTTTCTGGAAGTGACTAACATCTGCAAAAATAATTTCAGACTTTTGTATGGAGAGCAAAATCTTCACTTGATCATGCTAATATATTTTTTTATTTTCAAAGGTTTATAAAAGGTTTATAAAAGCTAGATCAATGAGACAAGTTCACTTACGGTTGTAGCAAAGAAGTAATTCCGACTCTTCATCCTCATATATATCTAAAGCTGCAACCAGATTCAACTGCAAACAATAACAACTTATAGTTATAGAAGTAAATAAATATTAAAAGCTATGTATGTGATTAAGATTTTGATTTGATGTTATATATTATGTACATGTATTTTATATTCTCTTCCTTCATTAGACAGGTTTTCAAACACCTGATCTTTTCTGAACCCTACCTTATTAGCCTCCACTTGATACAGCTGCAGAGTGTCTCCATTTTTCTCGTTGATCAGGTCGAACTGATTTTTGTATCCCACACAGATCTGGTTGTCGTCCTTGATTCCATCAATTAATGTAATCAATTGAGGACTCTCAAAGGCTTGTAGCTCCTACATTAAACATTTCTCATCTTTTTTAATTTTTTATTCATTTTACAAAAACGAAGTCATTCCAAACTTTTTTTTATGCTGTAATGATCAAAAGTGTGTTGTTGAATCTGGTAAATGAACATAATTTTTGAAAAATTCAAAACCCTGCCAGTGAGCAGTTGATTTAATAGGTTTTGACTTAAATGATCATACCCGAACAAAATTGAAACCGTCCACGATTTCGAAGTCCACGGAGGGGCACCAAGTTGACCAGGCCACAGAATGTTTCCAGGAGAACAGGAGGAGTCGTTTCTGGATGGCCACCACCATTCTTAAATGGCTAGCACCCTGTCTGCTTAGAGCATACAGATGACACCCTATTGCAGAATTAAATTCATGAACACATTCCAATTGCCAGTGAATTGGATCTTTTTATAATATAAGGATACTTGTCTTCAAATACTTAGTATATCAAAACAGATTGTGAGGAAGCGGTTATCAGCAGATGTGAGAGAGTTTTTGATTCTGATGTATGCCCAAAAAAATATTTATACCACAGACACTCCTTTTCATTGATTTAAAGATGATAGATTTCAAAGAAAAACGAATTGTTACTTTATATATTCAATACAATGAATACCTTTTGTTTTCTCGATCCTGTTGTCCCTACATTCTGCTTTTCCTCTCGTAACTTGATCCAATATTTCTCCCTCAAAATCATTTAATCGGTATACATATATCTTGCCTTCCTTTCCTTTCAGAAAAAAAGGAACAATATATAGCAGATGCAAGATAAAAAGCATCAAGCTCAAGTTTTACCGATTGAAGTTATATCAGATAAAAAGTTCAATATTCTTTACCCAACGTTATTAAAGGGAATTTAAATATTTTTCTTTCTAGATATCCTTTGAGGTATCTTTGTACCTTTGTCACATCTGAATATCAGAAGTCCGTGTGCCTCCACGATATCCAGCTGCTTCACAGGCACAGTCTTGTCAAATATTGATCGATGATGGAGCCCCTCTGTAAAACACCAGCTACAGTTGTAGATACATATGTCTTATTTCTTAAGGTGCGAATTTTAAATTGACTTGCAATAACCCATTTTTCATTGTCAGGGATATATAATTACCTTCAACGATAAATGTGCCATTATCTGTTGATAATATTAATTTGTTGTCCCCTGAAAGTAAAATCAATAGTGTTATCCATTTGCTGTCTAAAAATTCATCAAACACATTAAGATTTATAGTCTTCCGCTGTTAAAGACCTATTTAAAGCAGAGTATAAGCTGTTGCCAACGCGAAATGAGATGAATTATGACGTTCTATTTTATATCCTTATCTTCAGCTAAAAAAATAAATTGTCTTCAAAAACAAAAGTAAGAAGACCTTGACAAAAACAAATCTTCTTGCTTGATAAACGTACCCCAGGAATCGCCGCATATAATTGGATGAGGGAAATCCATGCAGAATTGTTGAGGTTCCCATGGCTACAATAGAAACGCAATAAACAAATCAAACACCCATGCTTGAAGACATGACAACAGGACCTTGCTTTTTGACAAAGGCATCTTTCATTGCTGAAGGGTTCAAATTAAGTTCAAATCTTGCTCACCAAGACAATTTGCTTTTTCTAATACAGGAATTAAGCTGTATGATTTTTACGATTTGCTGTATACATAAGGGTCCTACATCCAGAAACAAACGGAATTTTTTGTTGCTTTGTGCTAATAGAAGACCCGGGATCAAACTGCCTTTAAATGTATTATCAGAGTTCTTTAAAACAAGCAATTCCCTGAGATATCTGAGGAGTGACCCTCTACTTACCTCCCTTTTCAGTAGTCCTGTTGTCACTAAACTTGTGGGGGCGTCTCCCTTCAGGATGGTTTTCACTTTTAGTGTCTGGAATGGTATAATTTTTTTTCAAAGATTTTACAAATACTTTATTAAGAAATTATTCTTAAATATTTAAAGGGAAAATGTTGGAATGTCTTATAGAAGTATACCCGTCTTGTTTAGTTACCTGACCGACGCGGACGTATTCACTGCGCCTGGCTTCCTCTTTCCTTGAGATATGAGCGTCTTGAATAACATCACTGAATGCTCTTCTATACAACTGAATAAAACAATTCAATAACACTGATTAGTGCACGATGGAAACATTTCGTAAATGGAAGAATACAAATATAATATACATGTAGGTCATTCTAGTTAAACTTGTTTTGAGATGCATGACTATTGAGGTGAAAGCAAACATTCGAATAGTACATGTATTATGAAATTACGATTTCAAATAAGCTTAAATGTATAAGGTGATCGTATTGATAGATACTCCAGTTTTTAATTAATATTTATCCTTTAATATGCTTGAAATTTAATTAAAATAACCTTGTTCGTCTCTAGCATGTACACTTGGTGTATATTCTTTATTAACATCTCCAAAGTTCTTTCTCGTTTCTGTGCAAACAAGGGATTATTAACAGCGGCCTTTTCACCATTGATTACTGAAAAGAGCAAGGTAAGTCTAACAATGAAAAGAAACCATTTTTATTGAGTTTAGAATAAGTATTTTTTAAAAATACATCTGGAAAAATAATTTAAAATACAGTCTGTGACATTTATATACCTTCACACATCCTAAAAATAAATATATTGCTAACATGATTGCATCATTATCTATATCCCGAAAGAATTTAAACTGAATAAACTTCATTTTTTTTATATTTTAAGGATGAAAAAAGATTTAAATTAGAAAATTCATTTTTATTGAATTTATTGAATTTTCCGCACACTAACGTCATTGTTGCTATAGCAAACTTGGTGCTCAAAAAAGGAATAATCCACCGCTTTAATTCGTTTTCTCGTACTACTTAAAACCCATTATTAAAAAACGGAATTGCTTAGTTTAAGATGGATGAGAGCTTACATTTGACAAGAAGGAATTCTCTAAATTCATCAGCATCATGGAACACAGGGGGCGAAGGAAGTGGTGGTCCGAAGAGAGGAACTGATTCTTCGGAAAACACGTGAAGTTTATATGAATTATCACATGTATTGTAACACACAACAGCAAAAATATCTGGAGGAAATTAAGGTTCATAATTCTGTTACTATATGAAGAATCGGGTTGAAACATACAAATATATTAAAGTAAAATATTACACAAGTTACAAAAATTACACTGTATAAACTTAGTATGCGCAGTTTTTTTTCTCAATGTTATACAAATTCAAAGTAAATGATAGAATTTACTCTCGGGCGAATATACCTATAAAGCTCAACATTTGAAAGTTATGATTATCTAAGAAAGGAAGTGTGTGGGATAGTAGGTCATGATTGCCCTAGCTTTAAGGCCGTCATCGATCAACAGGTTCAACAAAAACTACTTAATCAGGTCCAGTACCCATGTTTTTTGGCGATGTATAGATGATTTGCAATTAAAACAGGATATAGAATGACAAAGACTGATATACAAGTCGTTCATATTGATCGAATTGGGAATCAATGAAGTTTATGACTGATTCCAGTTAATATTATATCACAAAGCAAGGAAGTTGAGATTTTTACAACATTGTCTTCTGATTACACTAAGCTGTCATAAACAGAACATTGAACCTAGAAAATTTTAAAATAAGCTTATACATATCACTTACTAATTATGTGCCAGTATTACCAGTATTGCATATGGCGTATATTAATTTTTAATATATTAAAAAGATAAAAATAACGAACTATGATCGATCAAGAAAATCCATAAACAATACAAATCTGTAATGCGGGCATACACCACAGAACCCCGGCATACACCACAGAACCCCGGCATAAACCACAGAACCCCGGCATACACCACCGGCATACACCACAGAACCCCGGCATACACCACAGAACCCCGGGAATTCCAACAGTGGGATCAGGTGCGCAGGAGGAGAAAGCTTTCCCTGTTTTCATGTCACACTCACCGTGAACAATCATACAATATGTTCTGATCAGGTAAACGCAACATTCCGTAGTTATATTCGGTGTAAATAAATCAGCCAAAATACGACCCAGTGATAGGATATACTCGGTATTTGCTAATAATGGGATTGATAATTTTTCCTAAATGACTTTTCATGTTTATACAAAGTTCTTTGGACACTAAAAAGTAAACTTAGATGATAAGTATTTTTCAAGATTTAATGCCCATAGTGAAAATATATGTATACACATAGATTAACGAGTGCATTAAATTTAATAAAACGTAAAATTTTAACCAATTTTTTACATATGAAGAACACAATGATCCTAAACAAAATAAATGACTGGGAATACAATCGAATATGTAACAGGTCCTTTAAAGGAAGATATCAACACTGTACATTTTATTGTGTTTAAATATAAGATGGAGAAGTTGTAAAACAAAGATACTACTTTTCCAATTTTCAGGACCTTACCAGCTCTATCTTCATAATACCGTAGTTTCAAGGAAACATGGACAACTAAGAATCCTTTTCAGATTGGGGCCTCATTGGCGTCCATATTTGTTTGTCAATCAAATAAAGATAAGATTTTTATGAAAAGAAGAAAAAGTAAAAGGATACGAGTAAACCGTGACCTCATCATACAAGGTTTGAACTGAGGAAAATGATGTGCATCTGGGTTGCTTGATTCATAGTAGATAATATTCACAATATCGTTTCCTATGTGTCGCTTTCTTTCCACCTAAAACAAGTTTTTTTTATATTAAATAATGTTAAGTATTTTATCATGAAAAAAAAATGGATTGAAATAAAATTTAAACTCATGTAGTTGTACAATAAAGACAAGAAAGTGTTCGTTCTGAATTACCTGCTGCTTGTTTTCAAGTGAATGAGGAAGAAATGTGGAAACATGAAACATTATCTCATGCCCTTCATACACAGTGTATATGGATTCCGTCCCTGTGGCATTGGCTACAAATCACAAAATGTACCTTATTGTGATGTCAAACGCAAAGTTTCATTTGGATTATATATAAAATCAATTTTCTATTTAAAAACTTACATTTGACATCTAAACCACCTTTAAACTTTTCCCATCCTTTCAATTTTATCCTGCCACCCAAAAGACCTAAGAATTCGTTGAAGGAAGGCTTTGGATCATCTGCAAACACAAATGATATTCTTGCTTTGAATAATATTTTCTGATCAATATGAAAAAGATGTGTTACGGTGTGAAAAATAATCGTCTCTGACGGACAAAAATAACCGTAACTTATTGTTCTTTGCATGGAACAAAACATTCATAGTTTTATTTGCTGCTAAAATTTGCTGACAATAACTTACAGAAAACCCAGACCATTTATTCATATATTTTGCCTTTCTGCATAGGAGAGAGACCTTATTATGCAAGATATCTTATTACTTGATGCCTTAGCAACTCCTCTGGGATATTGCATTACATTTGGAGTAACAAGTTTTCCTTTGTGTATCCCTTTTCTCTATCATAGTCACAAGATAACTAGATACAATGCTGAAGTTATTCCCAATATAGCTTATTTTTCTTAAATTATTTACAAACTAGCCCTTTTGAGAAACATAAATACTCGTTATACAAGTCGATAATAGTCCAACTGATCAGAGAACAGCTCATTAAGATGACTTTTTCGTTTACATAACGAGTCAATATTTTTATTTAAACGCGAAGAAATCAAGATATATGTCGATATTGACTTTTAGCGTGTGAATTATAAAATATACTAGCACAGTGTAAGTGACGCATATTTCCCAAAATTGTCTACGATGCAAATCACGTCATTTTCAGTAAGCTGTTCCTGACGGATTTGTTACATTGCCCACAAACACCAGGCTTGTATTATATTTAGCTCCTAAAATACTCACTGTTACTGTAGAATTCATCATCAGACACCTGGTTATCCTTGGCATAAACCACACCAAACTTGAAGTTGATCGAACCCTGAAATAATTGGCAAAATCTTTAATAGTACTACATTTACAAGTTTTCATGTATAAAGAACATCAAACTTGAAGTTAATCGAACCCTGAAATAATTAGCAACGAGTTTAATAGTATTACATTTACAAGTCTTCATAAACAACATCAAGGTTGAAGTTGACAAGTCTTTATAACCAACACAAAACTTGAAGTTGATCGGGGCCTGAAATAATTAGCCATGTGTGTAATCGTACATTAACCCGGTTTTATAAATATACTCTTTCTGAATTCCTGTTTTATCCAACAAACTATAAATATGTTACGATAATTGTGTAGCAAACATAAGTAAGTTCATATACTTGTATCAAAATTTACAATCTTTCAACTGAAATATTAACCTATTCCTAAAAGTCAGGAAACAATACTATTCTTTAAAATATGATAGCTCATTTAAAAGTTTTAATATCAAACATAGATATGGTATTATTTTTGAATTTTTGCTTACAAAGTCATTGTAAATAACAGGAAAATATGTCTGTTTAGTCCCAAAGAGTTTACGATAATTCATAATAAATTTCATTCCATTTTACAAAAAATATTGATTAAATCCATTTCAGTGCTATTGAATTGTCAAATATATATAGTAAAATCTTTTTATTAACCATGACAGGTTTTAATATCAAACATAGATATGATATTATTTTTTAAAAAAGACAAATTGTAAAATCTTTCCATGACAGATTCTGATCGATTTAAAGATTTATATATATGTATATAAGTATATCTAATGTATATTATCAAATAGGAATATGTTTCAAGCATCACAGAATTGATCTGAAATCATTAAATAAAATATTTTTCCTATAATTTCTTTCCCTTTAAGAATAATTCTTTTATCAAATCGATATCCACCTTACCTCTTGCTCTTCCAACACTAAAATGTCTTTCTGGATGTCTGGGTCAAATATTTCTTTTGGTCCCTTTTCAAATTTTTCTAATTCAAAATGACTGAAAAATAAAATGTCTCATTAATTTAATCCTAATGTAAAATGCATTATCATTCTTTTCTTATTTTCAAGAGAAAACACAAGAAACCACTTAAAATTGTCTGTGAATTTTAATGAAGAACGAGAAAATAATTTGTTGATAGTTTTATTCTATCAGAATTATAGGCCTATTTTCAGAAATATAATACATGTACTAGGAATTCAGTTAAACCGTCCAATTTTAAAATCTGTGGACATTATTCCTTTATTGATTTTAAACATCGATTTTTCCTGTTTGTGTGCTGATGGCTAAATTGCTTCATTATTTTAGCCCTGTTTAACCCTATCTTATAGAAAGGAAGTCGTTTACTGATCAAATTATTAGATTTGTATAACTTCCTTTATGTTGTCGTCACACCAATACTGATGAGTGTTATAATGGTATTCCAGAATTACTTATTATCGTGAATACTAAACAAAGGACACTGGCCTTATGAGATTCAAGTGCTCAGTCAGTCAGTTTTGTGCTTTGTTCCTTTATGAATTGTATTTGTTCTCGTAATAATATATCTCTAAAAACGATGAATGTATTTGAATGTCAATTCCTAAAGGCTCTTGACTTCTTAATTTACAATGAATACGATGGTTTTAACCAATTCTATTTACGATGGAACATCGATCTTTCATATTTCAATCCTTTCTTGTATATATGTAAAAATAGAAAGATATTGTGACAAGCTACTCAAAGGCCAAAGGATCAATGTTTTGAAAAACATTCAATTATAGAAATTATGTGTCGTTGCAAGCAGATAGTGAAATCAATATTGCGTACAAATTAACTATTTTTTAAGAGATGGAAAATTCATTAAATGCTAGGCTAGAATGACGTGAATATCTTGTATAAAAATTGTGTAAATTTTTGTCAAACCTTAATATGCTCTTGACTGTCTGAGGCTTTTGAGGGTTGTATTGAAGGCACACTCTCTTAGCTCCCTGTAAAAACATAAAACGAATAAAAAATATCTTATCCAGTATTAACAGATTAAAAGCAATAATTTGATAACTCGTCCAAATAATCACGCCACATTATTCAATGAAAATTATAAATATTTATTTTTTTTAAAGTCAATAGTATAATTACAAGGACTCAAAACAAAGGACAAGCATAAGAAAATCTCAACATCTTATTTTCGTTTACGGGAAAAAAGTTTGAAAAGCATACTTTTATAGAATATATAGAATGGCTTTATTCGACAGCGTAATACAAATCTATGAGTTCATTCAATACTTAATTGCAAACATGCTAACCGCTATGAATAATATTTTCACTATAATGATAAGAAAGGAACGTATTCATCGACTCCATCTTCCGGGTTATTAACTGTGTAATAGTTAACCGACCAATAAAAAAAATAACCAATATCTTTTTTAAATCTAGGTTAACGATTGTTCAGTTCCTGAAAATAAGGAATTTTGAGGGGAAACGATACGACTACACAAAGTTTGAAGTTAATCAAGGCATAATGATGTTTTGGAACAAGTCGAGAAACCCAGTATTATACAGTAGAAGATTGTAGCATTCTTGAAAATAAAGAGGTCAATTTTTAATTCATGTTCATTGTTTGTTTTTTTTTCGGTTACATACTGTTCAATATAAAAGATAAAAATACTAATATTTCAAATGTATCAGAATTAATCGTTCATACAAAGGAATTTTGTGATAATACATAATGTTGCCCTGCACATATTGACGCCGGCAACAATGTGTACCTACTGCACATATTGTCGTCCTACAGTACATATTGATAGAGCAACAATGTGTGCCTAGACGAGTCTCGTTTCCCCTGCAGAATGGGTGACATAATGAACCTCAAATTTTGGCACATACCTTTGTTGCCCACAATACGTGCTACTAATTTAGATACATTTTGTCGAACATAGAGAAAGAGAGGGATTCTTTCTAGTATATATATAAATTTATACACGAATCTTGTTTCCCATGCAGAATGCGCGACACAATGTATGTTAGCACGTATTGTCATTGGCGACAGTAAGTACTGGTAATATAGATACATTTTGTCGAACGGAGAGAAAGAGAGAGATTCTTTCTATAATTTAGATTAATCATTTTCAATGGTCCATTTTTTCCCCATTTGAAGGTACAAAATTTAGACTTTATGAAGGATTTTTAGCAGTTTCAATACAGCCAAGCTCAAAAGTTCATTTAACATACAAAACTGGAGCAAAGCAAACACGGACCTCCAAAATAATAGAGATGGGATCAGAAGCCATTGAAAAGTGAGCATCCCCTGCCGATGGTCACTGGTGTGTGTATATATAATATATACATGTACATGGCCACAGTAAACACCGCCACAGGAAGAAACCCTTGTCGTAGGTACTATTATGTGCATTGAGGGTATAGGTTCATTTGATGCCGCCGACAATATGTATCAGCCGTCGATGCCGTATGCAGGAATGAAAGTAAGTACAACAAGAGTAGTTAGCTATTTTGTCGCACACATTATGAACATCAAGGAAGAAGGACAGAAGAACCTGTTACTTTGTAAAATGCGGTAAAGTTATTGAATGACTATTAATTGTCAAAATTTCATCTCTTTAACTTTGTCAATGCTTCCATATACCTTATTTAACTCTAAAATATATCGAAATCGCCAAACTTTCAACCCATCAATATATTTTTATCAACATGTGAAAATATATTTTCCTAAATTCAATACCTGTGTTTATTACGTTGCATTGTTCACAATACAAATTAAGAGAAAATATAGGGAGAAAATTATCTTTAATTTGTTCTTGTCCCAAAGACAGAAGAATCCAGTGGTAATAAATATCATTTTTTCATGAACTATCTAATTCAAAACTTTCGGAAATGGACCCGAATTTTTATTTAAGTCCATGTGAAAGATTCTTTGAAACAATGATTCTTTGGACCTCTAAAGGTTTGATAAAAATCAGTCAATCATTTCAATTCAACATTTTGTCTTCAGTAACATAAAAAAGATAAAGCATAGTCTTCATGTTACGTTATTTCAGTATAATGAACGCTCTTTTTTATTCTGGAATCCAAATTAACATTCAAAGAGAAAAAAGATACCCCATAATAAAAGACAAAGCGGAGTTCAATTAGTTTCTAAATGCACCGATAAATCGCAGCGATAAAATCGCATCGACTGAAGGACACAAGATTAAACAAACAGGGGAGATCTTACAATCAAAAAGGAAGCAAAAAGCCAATATTCTTAACAATTCAAATGCAACATTAAAGAATACACCATTCTGCCTGACTACAGCAAATTAGACAACCAAAATAACTGCGTATATTGTTTGACCGTCTTATTTATTCCAGGAGGTTGAAAAAGACTGCAAACTATAGTCTCGGATATCAAAGTAGTTCAATTTCAGGAGTGAAGCTTACTTAAACCAAATGCAGAAAGGAAATGAACATTTGAAATTTAACACAGAGACTAAGAAAATGGTACTGAATGATGATGATGGAAACTTATTTTACACCCAGATTTACAGTAAAAAGGAATGACATTTAGTGAAAATTTGAAGAAAAAAAATAACGAGATTTTAAAAATTAATTTACATTAACATTTTTATTAATTTTTCATTCTAAATTGCATTAAAAGCTACATGTACATTAAAAAAAATCATATTTTAATATCGATCTTTCTAAATGACATTTCTTCTCTCTAATGGTGAACGTCGTGACTACTAGTATTAGTCAGAGCTTAATTGGCCCTTTTTGGTACAGCGTCCTATCCTCTTCCAATTGGAAATTAGGAATCGGAAAAAGTGTTAAAATGTGGAAAAATTGAGGTGAAACATTTAGTTTAAAAGTTTAATAAAGAGTTACTTTGAAGGTTATCAAGGTTTAACCCTTTTTCACATCTTTAAGAATTAATAAAATGTCAAAATACAAGTTTGTTTTAATTTAAAAAGCACTGAAAAATTCAGGCTTTGTGTCATTTTGAGAATTTGTTACTTTAATTTTGACAAAAAAATTGTAAATTTTCAATTGAAACAGGATTCTTTTACAGGACCTGTATGCAAGGTTTATTAAACCCTGTTAGTTTAAAATTTTTTCCTCCATATCATGGAACTTAATGGTCATTAATTAAGTGAATACTTACATTTTTTCTCCAGAGTACCGCTCTATACTGCGGGACATTATGGTTGTTGGCGTCCGTGACGACCACAGAGAGTATGAACGGGTCTTTGTCTGTGTCTATTCCAACATAGTTCTGATGAACTGAGAGAAGAAAAAAGTCAGTTGTTAAACGGAGAAAACTAGTAGTTAAAGGTGTATAATACAGTTATGAGCCATTTCACAACCTCTTTACTGAAAGAACGCCATATATCTAAACTGATTCATTAGAAAATGTGAATGAGGCTAAAAATATTTCTCTGGATTTTACTTTAAGGGTCTTGTTTCCAAAAAAAATTAATTGTATTTGGTTGTTTTCATTTTTTTTTCTGAGCCGATTGTGATTTTAAAAAAAAATTCTAAAACATAGTTATTTCGGTCCTAAATTATATTGTTTACATGCATCTGAAGCATTTTGTAATTAAAATAAGAAGATGTTTTCTCTCACTCGCGGTTTGGGGGTTTTAAAAGTACACGTTACATCTAATTGATCTGAATTGAAGATAATTACATCATGACAGCTTAATCTCTAAAGTTAGACTTATTCCTCTCTGAAAAAACATAAATGTCACTCAAAACCCATGAATATCCGCACCATAAAAAAAGCAAAAGAAAGGTTTCAAAAAAGGATAAAACAGCGACCGGGGGCAGGATTCGTATATATTTCACAAATCACTTTGCGTAGGTTTTATGTTTATCGTTGATATTTCCATCTAAGACTTAATTTTCTGGATGATAATTCCAAGTCTAGAAAGGTCTTTTATTTCAACTCAAAATTAATTTTAAAAAATCAAAATCCCCTACAGAAATAATGAGTCTCAGTGCCTCATATACAGTATATAAAAAATTCTCTGTAGAATAAAGAGAAAAGAAGTGACTGCAAGAAAGTTATTTTAACATAGATTTAAATATATATATTCAAAGCATAATATATCTTAATACTTTAACTATGTAAATGATGACTTATATGCACTTAAAACTGTTTTAAAGTACTTATTTTTTTATCATTGCGTCTGAATAATATAAAGTTAGGGATGAGGTGAGAAATAGCCGGCGACACCGTAAGTGTTTTGAACGCAATGGCTTCTCTTTGTTACAAGACACTAAATACTAGTATAAAGAACAATATCTGCAAGCAAATCCAAAATGAAATGTTGATGAGAGTAAGAATAAAAAAGGATTAATTAAAAGTACATCATCAACTGAGTACTTGTTTTGAATGTTGAGATTATTTTTTGTTAAAACCGCTAGCTAGAACATTCGTTATATTTTCCTTATTTCCTTCGAACAAGCTTAATATATTTGTTTTTCATTCATCCCCGAGGAATATTTGTCATTGTCTTTTTATCACCTACTCTCTTTCCAGCTTCCTAATTTTGCGAATCATTGTCGAGAATTTTTCATTTACTTGAGACTTCATACGTGATGAAACATTTTGTTGTCAACTTCGTCTTTTTTTTATCTATATTGTTCTATTACTCTCTATTGACTAATTAAGCTTTTTCTTCCTTACTGCGATTTTTATTACTGGAAAGAAACCTTGAAAACTGGCTTTTTGTTTTTTGTTTTTGTATTTTTGAACCTCTGCTGTGTACAAAATCACAATGATGATTATTTTTAACAGACAGTTACAATACTAACTAAATTGTCTTTATTATACCCCCCGCTTCAAAAGCGGGAGGGTATATAGTAATCGTTAATTCCGTCCGTCTGTACGTCTGTCCGTCCGTCCGTCTGTCTGTCCGTCCGTCTGTCCGTCCGTCCGTCTGTTACGCTTTAGGGTACCCATCTCTTATCCGCAACTCCTCTTATACCACTGAGTGAAATTTAATGAAACTTTCACAGAATCTTTATTACATATTGCCATTGTGCACCTCCTATTTTACTTTTTGATCTGACACATATTTTGGGTGTCCCGGCCACGGCAAAACATGGACTTTCATCAGTTATAACAATATATGAGGCGGGGGGTATCATTTGGTGAGCTCATTGCTCACAGTACCTCTAGTTTCTGAATTGTTTGCAGGGAAATTTTGATAAAGTTGCACCAATGTATATCAGTTGTTTTTCTCTGCATGTCTGTTTTGTACCTTTTAACCAAAACAAGACTGTGAAAGAAACTCTATAATAAAAACAGCCTCAGTTGTACATGAATACATGACAACTAGGAAAGATAAGAAATGACTGAAAATTAAAACTTCCAAGAAAATATTAAACAAAGAACTTTTTTTTCAAGGCAAATTAAATACAAATTTGAATTACTTACGTTTACCAAGGAAGTATTTAAAATACCATCGAGTCTGAAATTCTGGATTTTCTAAATGAATAGGACTAGCAATAGGGCTGGAAACCTGTAAAAATTAAAATGAAGTTGATTTTTCATAAACTGTCCAATAATTTGACCTCGTCAAACTTACATGTAGGAAAGTGCAAGAAAGTCGATATTTCACATCTTTTTTAAGGATTAGACCTTCAGTATCTTAACATTTGCAATAGATTCTTTTAAAAAAATCAATGAAATTAAATCCAACATCAAAATCAAACCACAGGTTGTAAAAAAGGTAATAATGTAAGATTAGTCTTTGAAGCTAGTATACATATAACAGTGCTATAATCTTATTTGAGGTGGAAGAATTAGAAAAAAAGGTCGCAACGGATATGTATGTAGTTACCCATTAAAAGACAATATATTTTGTTTATCCAATATTGACTGATAGGTCAATGCCCGTTTAAGAGTTGAAAACCTACCTTCTTTGATTGGCAGCAAATATTTAGCGTAAAGGGGGACAAAAATACGACGGTCTGACTTTTCCATTTCAAAATTATTTTGTCAAAAACATTCTGATTTACACACAATAACTCTAAAGCTGACATCAAAAAGATGCTTGAGTTTCTAACTGACAACAATATCTATGTTATATATGGAGACCAGGTCTTCCAACAATCTATTGGAATTCCCATTAGTACCAATTGTGCCACGTTATTAGCAAATCTAATTTTGTATTCATATGTGGCAGAATTCGTCCAAAGTCTTATATGTGAAAACAACTCGAAATATAGAAACATCAACGACGTATTGTCAATTAACATTGGTTATTTCCATTCTTATGTCGATACGATATACGGTGAGCTTGAGAAGAAAGAAACAACAGAGTCTGACACACCTGTTTCATATTTTGATATTTTACTTGAAAAAGACGTTAATGGTAATCTAACAACCAAGCTGTATGATAAACATGATGACTAACTTTTCAATCATCAACTTTCCTTACTTTTGCAGCAATATACCTTCATCACCTGCATACGGAGTGTATATCTCTCAGTTGATTCGATATGATAGAGTATGCTCTGCGAACGTACAATTTCTAAAACGATGTAAATTAATGACAACCAAGCTGATGAAAGAAGAACATCAGGAGTTTTGTTTAAAGTCATCATTTCGTAATTTCTATGGTCGATACAATGACCTTGTCAGCAAATTCAGTATGTCCTTACGTCAAATGCTGACTAACGTTTTTCATACTAAGGCCATTCCAAGTTTTTTCTCTGTTTAGCGTCCACCCATCTTTTAAAAACCTACCTACCTATTCGCAAAAAACACACAAGCCAAAACATAAAACACAGGCAAAAAAGTGATAAAAATGACGCCCTTAAAATGATTTGATCTAACTAAACTGCTTTAATAGAAGAAATATCTATTCTTAAGCAAAAACAAGGGATTAAATGCTAAAAATACACCCAGTATAACTTACTGTAAAGAATTATTTGGAGAAATTGACAAAATTTAAAAATTTCGATTAAATTAATCAATTTTAGGACTCCTGATGTTTTGTGTTTTTTCTGATATGGGGTGTCAAAAACCAAGGCGCACGCGGACGCTAAACATAGAAAAAACTTGGAATGGCCTAATTGTTAGTCCATTTTTACACCCTGAATTGACGACGGATTTTCGTTTTTTTCACGGTCATGACAAGGAGCACACGGTGGGTGTGACCGGTCGGCAGGGGATGCTCACTCCTCCATGCCACCTGATCCCACCTCTGATGTTTTAGAGTTCCGTGTTTGCTCTACTCCTGTTTTTTAAATTGTTTATTGGACTTTGGGGCTTGAATACTGCTGGTTATCTCCATATATTTTATAATCGTGATGATACATGTATATAGATTTTTTCAAATGTCACCAAATCATCATCTTTTTTTTTTTTACATCCTCTTGGATAAAAGAGGGGCCCCTTTTTTAGGACAAATATAATATGACTTCTCTTCAATCAAAAATGATTTGTGGCAAGGTTGGTTGAAGTTGGCCCAAAAGGTCTGGAGAAGAAGTCGAAAATGTTGATAAGTTTACAGATAGACGGGCGCCGTACAAAATGTGATGAGAAAAACCCTTTTTATCTTCAGCTCACATGAGTTGAAAAGATGGCTGATCAGAAAGGTTATTGATACTTATTCTATTTATGTAAATTGTTAAAATTCACGCTTAAATAATTTGAAATCCTCTTGTCTTGCCCCTCCCCCATTCCACCCTCTGGAATTCTTTCTAAAAGCCTTATATTTATTTAAAACCAATCTAAGATGAAAGATTTTTTTAATGCAAAAAAAAAAATTCACACTGAATATCAATAATTAAGGCGTATTTTATAATGTGTCAGCTGAGTATAAATATTAAGACTAACAATATATCAAATATAAAAGCAAACTATAAATATGTTTCAATTTTTATGGATTTGCCATGAATACCGGCATACGAGTTATCCAGTTCTTATTGTAGTAAAAGAACCTACGATCTGCTGTTTGAATTGTCTTAGAAATGGATTGCGATAGAAAATTTTCTTTATATTTTGTTCTTTTCTTTATATATTATACATTTTATTTGTCAAATCAAATGGAAAACAATGCGCGAAAGTGATTCACCGATTGAAAATATATTTTTAAAAATAACTCAGCTTTATTAGCCGTGGGCTTAAAACTTGTTTTATCATAATTTGCACTTATATCAGATAAACTCACAAACTTTATCGCTATAATCATTTCGTTCAATATATTATATATACATGTACCATCAAGAACTCTAAGTAAGTTATTCATATAATTTACATTTTATCAAATACCCTTCACTTTGATTAAACTACATTAGTACGCTTGTACCAAAGGGTGAAAAAATGATGCATTGGCAATTATTCCAGCAATTTAACTTTAAAATAAACAAGAAGTTTTAGTTGTATCATTCTGTCGATCAGCCACATTGATAAAATAATACAAGGCGTGATGAAAATTGGTCCGAAAGTCTTTATTTTGATAACTCGTAATGTGTCGCCCCGAAGGTCTTCACTTTTATTAAACAAAATGTATCTAAACAGGGAAAGATTTATAGGGAAGTCGGGAATCCTGCTACATGTGAGTATTTCAACTAAGTCAATTATCAAAATACATCTATTTTTATCTCTAACAGTAGAAAATCCTTAAATTAAAAAAAAATGTCATTACCATGGTTCTTTTTAAGTCAAAGTTCAACTGTAAGATCTATGGAAAGTGTTGACCTTTGTTATTGGCATGAAATTGTTAGATACACACCCAATACTGTTTGTTCCATAGGGCTTATCAAACTTTATAAACAAATCTGTTTATAAACAATATCTAACGATCAATTATCACAGCTTATTAATACGGCATGAAAATGACATGTAAATTAGTTTATTTATAAACATTTACATTTCTATTTATTTGTCTATAACATTCCCAACAAATTAGAATTTTTTCATTTTCTCATGAACTACCATGGACGAGCATTAATATCTCCATTGTTACGTCAAAATACCCTACCTGTCGTCAAAATGACAAATTGTTTTGCTTCAAAAATGACAGTTGAATGGCGTAATTTGTGGTAACTCATCAGAAAATGATGTAAATATAAGAAATGAATTTCATTTTTTGAAGATTCAAGAGGTACATGAAATACAATGCTTCACGCCGGCATATTAAGCGGTAACGCGCTTCGTTAAAATGCCGGCGTGAAGCGTCGTAGTTCATGTTCTCTTGCATCTTCAAAAATGAAATTCATTTCTTAAATGTACACTCGATTTCCTATCGCAATCACTCGACACTCAGATTTTGCTTTTGTGTAAAGCAAGAAATACTCCTTAATATTCGAAGTTGCAAATAACGATGCATGATAATTATTACTTCATACTTTGTTTGAACTTTACAGCCACGTAACATCGTTTTTGAAAGGGGGGGGGCAGCCAGAGAAAAAAATTTTTTGACTTACCTGAAAAAGTTGACAAGCGAAAAAAAAGAAGGAAAATTGCCAAACTCGAAAATCCTATTTCGTGGGGGGAATGGGGGTAGAGACCAACTTTTTTTAGTATCAATTTTTTTGGCATTCAATACTACATTTCCTTGATATCATTATCTTGTAGTATAAAGTGGGAGGGGGGCAAACAGCATTTCAATAAACATTTCCAATAGTAAAAGTAATGTTGGGGAAAAAAGTGGGGGGGGGGGTTAAGTATAGTTTACGGTTGTGAAACATAGATTATCGCGTTAACTATAGTTTACAGATGTAAAATATAGATTAACGTTGTTAACTATAGTTTACAGTCCGTAAACTATAGCACCCCCGTTGCTACGTGCCTGCTTTAAGTTGACTTATACGTGCAATACACACAGTTTGCACACTTGCCATAAATATTTAAAAGTACATGTACTTTCTATTAAGCCAGTGACCTGATTAAGCTTATTCGAATATATAAATATAAGTTACTGTAAAACACTAATCTTGTGCTCGCTTCTTCTCTACCGCCAATCGTACTTTCCCGACCTCTTTGCTCTGAGACCGTTATATTAACTGTACTTTTTTTTTTTTGGACCTATTCCGCTACCGCCAATTGCGCTCCGTTATAAGTAAATCTATTTTTATATTCCTCTTTGCTCTGAGACCGTTATATTAACTGTACTTTTCTCACCTCTTGGCTACCGCCAACCGTACTCTCCCTACCTCTTTGCTCTGAGACCGTTATATTAACTGTACTTTTCTCACCTCTTAAATTGGCTACCGCCAACCGTACTCTCCCTACCTCTTTGCTCTGAGACCGTTATATTACCTGTACTTTTCTCACCTCTTGGCTTCGTTTCTTTTATACCTCCCATAGCATAGGCGTCGGAAGCAAATTGAAAGTGGGGGGGGGGGGGCTAAACCAAGAAAATTAGGTAAACCCCAATTTTCAATGTGCCTATATTATGTATATATATATTTGCAAAAAAAGTGGAGGGGGCTAAATTAATTTACCCTCTTTGCCCCCCCCCCCCTCTCCCTACCTCTTTGCTCTGACGCCTTTGTATACCTGTTCTCACCTCTTGGCTTCGTTACTTTTATACCTCCCATACTGTTCTCATCTCTTGGCTTTGTTACTTTTATACCTCCAATACTGTTCTCACCTCTTGGCTTCGTTACTTTAATACCTCCCATACTGTTCTCATCTCTTGGCTTCGTTACTTCTATACTTCCCATATTGTTCTCACCTCTTCGCTGCCTTCTAAATCTCCTGTCTCAATTCGGAACCTGCCCGCTGATTGGCTTTTACTGTCATCATCTAGTAAAGTTAACTGAAAGAAAACGATGAAACCTAACGATGGTTATTGTACTTTATTTTATTCTATATTTGTCAACATAATTTTTGAAGGTAAATGTTTAGTTAAGCCATCATAAATTTCCAGAAATGGAAGGTGTCATATTAAACAAAGTGATTTCTCAGAATTCGTTAGTAAGAAAGTCATCAACATCTATGTGTTAACTCATTTCCTGCACAATAATTTTAATAAAATAAAAATGAAAAGCTACAATTTCATAAACTATATGTTATACACGATAATTAATTTTCACGAGGAAGGATTCTGTTTTGTCACATGCACATGCAAAACATACTCAACGTCCATGTGTTAACTCATTTCCTACATATTAATATTAATAAAATAAATATGAAAAGCTACGATTTTACAAACTGTATGTTATACAGCATGTAAATTTCAGGAGAAAGGATTTTGCTTTTTACACATGTACACTTTAAACTCAAGTCAGCACATCAAAAGTTTGGTTTGAACAGTTATAATTATATCTTAATTCCTTCTCCTTCTGACATTTGATCTGCGTTATTGGAACGAATAAAAGCCTTTATGCATTATTCATTGCTCTATATTGAAGTTAGATCCCGATATTTGAATTTTCAATGGGGATTTCAAGTTACACGAATGCTTTATCAGCCTCTACTCAGTAAACTATCGCCACATTCGATGATCAAATTCAAGAGGGTTCTCTCTTGTATGGTTAAATGAAATTCATGTCCACAGAAAACATTGTAACAATGACTTTTTAGCAATACGAGTATGTATAATTTATCCCTAGATTTATCAAAGCATCATATTCAAAACTATATAATAGGTTAACAATTATCTGGTAAATGATGGCCATGCATTGAAGTATTGAAGCCGTGATTTGTGATTCAGAAAAGTTGCTATTGTTTAAAGGCTTTGGTCTTAAACTATCACACTAATGCTAGAATATAGTTTTTCGGCGAAGCAAATATATGTGAAAGTGATCTATTATTGATTCAAATATAATAATGCTCTTTCGATTCCGTTCAAACGACTTGATCATAGAAAAAATTTAACCCCCGGTTTATTTAAAAAACCCTGTTCTACCTATATACATACCCAAACCCTTCGTATACTTGTTTATATTATTAGTCATAACATTTTTTTATTGCTTACATTAAACAAAATCAATTTGCAAATGGTTATGGGATCAATTATAGTCCATGTCAATAGTTATTATATGTTAACACAAAACAGTGAGTCCTATTCATAATTTATCTTTCCATATGGTAAACAAGTTTTATAACAAGCGAGAATAGAACGATGATCGACCTAAAAAAAAATCTTTAAACAATACAGTTTTGAAATTACACTCTTGACCATGCATATGGGATAGCGGGGTTGTAACATAGTAATTGATCTCAAATTCAAACAATATCCCCTGTTGACCGGTCAAACCCGCCGTGAGCCCTATGAGTGATCAAAGCTACATTGAACCATCCACAATACGACCCAGTGTTAGTTTATAATGATGTTTAATAATTAATTAAAGAAATTAAAGAAAAGCTGGCGAGGATATTGAAATCCCTGTAACATCAGCTTATCAGTGCGAAGCATGTCTCGCTTCAAAAATTGACCTTACTCTGAGCATACTCTTGCGTAGCAAATGAGTTGTAAGCCGTATACAAGTAACACTATAAGAACATGATATTGGAATAATACTATATAGATAAGGAAAATTGACGCTTAAAAAGCTGAAATCATCTCGTTAGTCAAAAAATTTAACTATTAGTTGGCCCATATCGTCTATGTTCAGTAAAACACCTAAATATGAAACAGATTTGACAAACTCTATGATGACTTTTATTTCAGGTTCTCTTGAATACATTGAGTCGACATATGAATGAAAATAAATAATGTTTATAAACAAAATATCATCGATATATCTGAATGTTGAAGGCCACAGCAAGTGATTTTTTTCTCATGTAGAGTTTTTAAAAATAAATTTTGCTTCATATTAATATATCAACCGACCATCTAATCAGAGAGCATAGGTAATGCCCATCGGAGTTCCAATTGTTGGTTTTGCTAGGCACTTGAAGTGAAAGTTGCTGGTCCTTTGGATAAGACCTAAAAACCGAGGTTCTGTGACACGGCAGGCGTTGGCACGATAAAGATCCCTAGCTGTTCAATGACCCTATATGCCGAGTAAAGGTCAAAATTTGAACCCCTTAACCGGTATATGGTGATGTCTCTACATGAGTAAAAAAAATCTCGAATGGGACGCCAAACAACAATCAATCAATCAAAGAGACTTCCTAAAGGATATAAAACCATAATATATCATAAAAATACTCTCGCTGTCCTTACAAATCATTATAAAGGAAATTTCATTGACAAATTTGCACTTCATACTACAAGCTTCTTTAAAAAGTTTAAATTAGTACGCTTTACCTTACTTGAGATTCTTGCAAATCTACTTCCTGAGCATTTTATCAAACAATTACCTACTCCTATAGTTATATATCAATTTCAAAACTTTATTCTTCGTTATGCTTTTAAGACGTTTAATGTCTCTTAAGAGTAGGTGTATATCCTCACGCCGTATTTCCTCATCATTAGCCATTTCACCGAGAGACTACAATCATATTAAGCTTACCGTTTCCACGGAGCCATATTGTCGTCGGCTGAAAGCATCTCGTCTGACAGTCAAATCGGTTGCAGGAGTGCTGCAAAGAGAGAAAAATGGTATTTATACAGAGTAAAAATACAATGCTCATCCCTAGATAATCATTTTTAAAATCTAATCAGTCGTATTCATAGCAATTACCCAAAGCATTTTCGCCTCGGTAGAATGTTGTGTGTTTCAAATGAACAAGCAATGAAATTAACTTGATAATAACAAGATGATTCTGATCCTTTTTTATATCACGCATTCACGATTTATTAATCGATTTTATATTTCTTTTTTCCTGACCCCCGCCAAGACTGTATTGCTTAAGTGTACAATTCTAAGACATATTCATGATATTGTTAAATAGGGCCCTGCGTCCTTCTCTTTGCAAATTTCAAGGAGACTGTAACGTCGTTTGACCCAACAATCGAGTTGGCTGGAATCTTTAACAATGAAGAAGGATTATTGAACCTTTCTTTGACTATTTCATTTCATTGCGTGGAAAGGAAATTTGTCGTTCAGACCCACTCTCGTCTACGGAAATACCGTCCTTGTGTCAGCCTTATCGGCAAAACATCTGTTTTGCCCTCCTCTTTGATTTCCTCTTCCTAAATCACGCAACAATAATCGATTTTTTGCAAAATTGATTACGACGGGAAACATATTTTGTCTTCATTATCTATATTTTGAACGTAACGAAATACTAGGGCTATTTGACCTAGTCGCGACTCTTGCAAATTACTCTGATAATTCATGTATTATCGCCAGGTCTTCAGGACCCATTTACACGGTTAATGAGCAAGTTTAATTAAACAAAACGACAGTAAGGAAACAGTAAACAAGATGTGTTTATGAAAAACTGATGCTCCTGTATGAATGGTCAAGACCGGAGTTTAATTTTTTCATATAAAGGTCATATTCCAAGGTCAAGAGTTTAAAAAATATAGATACCCAAATAAAAGTTGTTACAAGGAAATCGCAACGGAGAGGCAACATTCAAAAGTAAAGGTCATGATGATAAAACAAAAGAGGAACCAAAGGGTAGATTCTTCACAGGAAATTAAGGTATAGGTGAAGAATGAAGGCCGTATCAGCAACTGTTCAAATGATATAATCAATGTACCTCGAGGTCAAGATCAAAATAATTTTTACCAAAATGGAAGGTTTAACTCAAGGAACACGTGTATGATACATGAACATCCTAGTACTCACTGTTCAAACGTTATGGTAGAGGTCAAGATCGAAAGGTCTAAAATGTTGCTCCTAGTTGTGGTTAAGGTTAAAGGGTTTTTAATGCCCCGTTATAGAAGACTCGGGGGTTTATAGTTTTTGCCCTGTCCGTCTGTCTGTTTGTCCGCAAAAACTTCAACCTTGCCCATAACTTTTGACTTGATGGGACTATATAGCGTTCTAAGTTCACAGGTATATTCCTTGTGACAAGACCTTTTTTTCGGGTACCACCAAATTTGAGCTTTTGACCTTAATTTGACCTGTTTTTGCCAAACATTTTCCAACTTTAACCTGGGCCATAATTTTGGGACAGTTGATGATAAGGCTTCCATTCTTTACATGTATGTTCCTTTTGAAAAGATCTTTCAATGGGTTAAATTATTTTGACCTTAGAGTTTGACCAACTTTGAAAAACTTGAACCTTGGCTAGAACAGTAATTACTACGGCTTTCATATTTTACAGAAGCATTCATTGTGACAAAGACTTCATTTGGATATCAACAGTTTTGACCTTTTAACTTGGAATTTTGACTTTTCAGAAACTTCAACCCTCGCTATAAGCTGCCATACAAGGGCATCAGTAGTTCACAAACACATTTTGTTTTTGTTTTGTTTTGCAAAACAAGGTCAAACTCCAAGGTCAAGATCTAAAATATATTGGTACCAAAAGAAATGTCTTGTCATATGCAATAAACATGTGAAATATGGAAGCCCTAGCATCATTTATTCAAATGGTATGGGCAAAGTTAAACTTTTATGATCAGACAGACGGACGTACAGACCAAAATTATACTCCAATCTTTGGTCATGGGGGCATAAAAATATCAAATCAAAGGAAAACGACCCGTGAGTTGATTACTTTGTGCTTTTTTTTTTTTTAAAAAAACCCAGCCGTTTGACCATCTTCAAGAAATATGTCGTTGCCCTCTCCCGACCGACTATAGCTAAATATGACCCGACTTAAACTTGTTTTCAATATCATATCCTGGGATTATTTTTCATGCATTCCAGAAAATAGATTTGAGAAATCAGCACTGGTTTGAATTTTTTCTTGGAAATAAATTTCTCACGGGCTAAGCCCGAAATTGTTAAGTTAAATATTCTGACTAATAGTAACAGATGAAGATTAATGTCATTGAATTTCATTACTTGCTTATTATTACAGATTTTTTGTTTATTATGTTAAAAGGGGCGCGTTTATTAAATGTTGATTTGTTTGTTTAGGAATTGGTTTTGTTACTGTTGCTTCTGCTTTATGCCCTGGAAATAGAAGATTAAGGGGCTTTTTTTTTCATGTCCGTCCATGTGTCTGTCTGTCCACAAAAAATCTTTTATCTTTCTCATTACTTTTGATTGTTCGGATTTTGACTTTTACATTTCATAAATGTATTCCTGTGACAAGAACTTCATTTGAGTTTCAATGCATTTCCTCCTGACTTTGCAGTTGAACAAACTTTTGCAAAAATAAGTAAAACTTTACATTTTGCCATTACTTTTGAACAGTGGTGTTAGTACAGAGCTTTTCTTTCATATGTGTATTCGTTGTGACAAGATTTCCAATATAATTTTTTCCTTGGACCTTAGAGTTTGAACTTAGAGCATTCCAGACCATTGTATGATATCAGCATGGTCAGAAACGTTTTTTTTTTTATCTAAAATTATTTAAACTACAAATTTCACTCGTCTGATCAACGCACATCCCTAACATTCAAGAAGTAAATGTTTTCTTCATAATGAAGAAACATGGATTATCTAATTGGTATGAATAAAATGTTTTCAATCACACCTCTTCATAATGAAGAAACATGGATTATCTAATTGGTATGAATAAAATGTTTTCAATCTATAATACACACCTGGTAAAACGTAAACATGATTAAATAATAAATATAACAGAGACCGTAACCATGCTTACAAACAAAGGCGTTTGACGTAATAGTATGAAGAATATCGTTCTTTTCTTTATTTAAGAATTTTCATGTACGTTCACTTCAGTTGACTGAAGTGATATTTGTTCATAAAAAAGAAATTTTAAAGTAATTATAATGAAACTGTGTCCAGCCACCTTTAAATCAAGAATTCTTAGTAAAAACTGATTTGATTTTAAAAATCTTGATGTGCATTGATCGGAAGTCGTGCGTTTTTAAGCTATTAAAGCCTTGTAGAACAGGAAGAAATATCCAATAAAATTTGCCACAGAGGATATGCATTTCTCATTTCTTATTACAAATTAAATCATAGAAAAAAGGATTGACATCGAAAGATGCATAAAATTTAGTTTTATCAATCTAATTTAGATTTTATGCAACATAGGATTGTCAATTATTAAATCATTTTCATAAGAGGACCGCTACCGTAATTTGAATTCAAACTCCCGGCGCTTCATTTGTAGAAAAATGGCAATTTGTTGAAGCAAAACTGATTTTCTGATTCTTTAAAAATAGAATGGTAAAGCAAATAAAATCTACACCTTATAACAACGTACATTATACAATGTAACATATATATATTGAACTTTGTTAAAACGTATTCGATCAAGACAATGCTTTATTTCCTGCCTTGTGGAAAAATAACGCCTCAGTTTCTTATTAAAATAGTTAAAAAAAAATGAAAGTGGATGTTTTGCACATAATGACAAGGAGAAGAAAAACACCCAAGATTAGCACATAACACACAATATCTAACAGAATATCTCACTAAAGCAATCTAAAAAACAAAATAAAGCAATATTCATCACTGTTTAAATGTGTATAGATAAAATTACCCTCTCGTATACGATAAGGGTTTCAGGGTTTCTAATAAATTTCCTATGGCCAGATGGAGTCAAGTTGTTTATCTGATACTCGAGTAAATGGACTGTCAAGGGACTTAGGTGGCGATAAGGAAACACAAAAAGTACGAGACCCTCGATATACTGAATAAAAAGCATCTTTTTTATGGGACGGTATTACATCTTGCTTATACAAAACACCAAGAATTCAACATGCCTACTGTACTAGTATCTTGAATTTATAGCCTTCACTGTCTGCTTTATTCGTACACCAAGCGAACATTGATTTAGTGGATTATGTACAGAATAAAATCACTCTATGCGCAAGTATTTGTGATTTTTATTTTATTTTCTAAAAACTGAAATAATATGGAGGAGGAAAGATTTTTGTAACTTTTGCCGTGACTTTTATCGAAAAAGGAAACGCAGCATACATGTACGATCATAAACCTTGGTCTTTACAAGTAATTCTTCGTTTTACACGAAGTTGCACAGATCAATAACATCATAAACTTACGCATATCTTTCTGGGGTTTTTTTTGCAAATTAGAAAAAAACTTTTAAAAAATCAATTTTTGCGAAATTCTACATAAAAACAATATCTCGATGATGTGATATATATATTGATGACAAGAGGCCACAAAACAAGATCTATAATAGTTTCACCGATATTCTATTTATCACTTCAGCTCTACTGAAGTAAAAAATATATTTCAATATAACATATACTTATCAGATAATATGTTATGTACAGTCTGTTGCTGTTTTGATAATTATAAAACGATATGGTGGATTCATAAAAAAGAACTACAGCCTCTAAGATCAATAACTTAGGGTAGACTTTAGTCAAAACTAAAAATCTGAACATCTTTGTTTTTATACCACAAATTTAACTCGTTACAGTTCTGTTTTATGGTTAAAATGCTAAACGAAAAATTTTTTCTACTTAAAAATTATTCCAAAGAAACTTTTATTTAGGTCTGTTCTCAGATTTTCGTTCTGGGCAAGGTGTATCGCCCGTGTCCGCAAACTTTCGATAACAATAATTGCTTTATTCTCTTAGAGTGGTACATATAATAATTTTGATGAAGTAATGTAGTGAATTTGGAACCTACATTTATTTTTTAAAAAAAGAAAGAATCGAAGTATTCCTTTTCAGCAAATTGAGAGGAATTTCTCTTGTTGCTCAAAACCAGGAAGACTAGCCCAACCTCGTTAAAGTGTCATCATTCAAATCTCCTCGCGAGGTAAATATAAACTATTGGTATAATTTGTTACTAGGAATGAATACCACATGCAAGGCATCTTCACCAGCCAAAGATGTATCCTACATCGGATTTCGAATCGGAAACCCTTAGCTAGCGAATATGCATGGAAAGGGGTTGTATTTTTTTTATTACATGTAAGTAACATTAACCATAAATGGAAGAAACGAAGCAGTCGGTAGATCAATGTGTCATTCCCGTGTGATTGTTAAAGATAACCTTCAAAAATCAATTTTAGCGATTAAAAAGGAAATTATGTAGATCAATATGATTGAACGAATTCTAACTGTTGGTGCGTAAGACAGCTATATCTTCTGTGCTCACGGAGGCATGGCAGATTGCGTCCGATGAGGAACTCGCACAAAATAACGCAGGAATGTATGTATCGAGACTGTTAAAGTGCGATTTCTTTATCACCGTCACACAGTTGATTGTATCATAAAGGCCTCTTTCTTTATTAAAATGGAAAGGACATTAAAGGAGATTTATTGAGGAAAAGAACACGATGTATTGTTTCCTAATATAGGAAGCAACATAAGTGGACCCCTTTTCCTTCAGGATGCCCATTATAAAGTTTCTTTTTTGCAAAATGTTACGGTGAACATGACATTGCCAAGAGGTCTCTTACGCAATATTATTTTCTTCCTTTTTAACGCTTTACAGGAAGAAGGAACTTTTTACTTTAAAACAATACTTTATTTTGTTGATGTTTGTTCACATATTACCAGTGTATATATATTTGTGCGAGTGTTTTCGCGGAAATACAACATTGCCAATAAAAGTCACAGTTTCCAAACCTCTGTATTATTCTTTATTTTCATTTTCTTTGTGTGTGAAGTATACATGTATAATCCCCCTTTTGCAACATAAACAGAAGAAGAGAAAAACAAAAAACAATAAAAACAAAAAACCTTATAGGTACTGATTTACCAAAATATTTAAGGAAACCTAACTTATTAGTCTTTAAATTACCAACATGGCTTAAACGTAAATGCATAATCCCCGAATTTTATATGACCAAAATGATTATCTCTCATATTATCATCACATAAAACAAGGAAATCATAAGCAGAATTCGAAAGTGATAATATGTCATAGTGTTCTAGTGTACGAGTAAATCCATTTACAACATCGAGGTTAAGCAGGATTCTTAATAGGAATTTCAACACTCTTTTAGCCGTCATTCCACGAGGTGTGGTGAACTGGGACTGTTCTGTTACAGAGAAGTGTAAGAGATATGACAATCATGACCATTCTGAAGGTCTAGCTGTTAGGTATTGAAAAATGTCAACATCAGAAATATAGCCTAAGAAATGCTAAATGTACACGTCATGAATACGACTCTATAGAACCTGTCTTGGACGTTACTGATTTGCAACTGATTAGTTTATACTTTACTTACAATCATTTCTTGCAAATTTAATCTTGACAATCTTTTTTAAAATTTCTTCTCCTTTGTTAGAACTTGAGACCATGCCACATTTAATCAATCTGAATTGATCTTCTTATATATATATATATATATATATATATATATAATATATATATATATATATATATATATATATATATATATATATATATATATATATATATATATATATATATATACAAACGGTAAAGCGATGATAACGGAAAATTTATCAGGAACTTATTAGATTTCACTCACAACTTATAGCAACCGGAGAAAAGAGGACAAATATTTATCAAATCTAATTTTCAAAAGGCTTTAAAAATGAACAACTTAAAATGATATGAGAGAGAAGGAAAAAAGAAAGAAAGAAGAAACCTGGCACATCTTGGTCGGAATTGATGTCCATTAGTTGAGTCTTTCCAAGTGACCCTTCTCTGCTCCTTGCTTGGACTTTTGGTAGATGGCCTCTTCTTTGAGGAAACAGATTTCGAACGAAATCGAAATAAAAAGTCCTCCATAGCACAGGGCATTAGATATTTCTTTTAAAATATTGTTCTCAAACGTAAATGAGAGGACACTAACGACATATGTATCAGCTAAATTGAAAATTTTGCATCCAAAGTCTCAGAAACCACATAGCACAAGACCAGTCGGTATTTTTGCACTTAAGTCCATTCATCAGCTGATAAATCAAATCATTCTTGTATACCTTATCCTATCGTGTGATGATTTCACTCTAAACACGTTGTTTCTCTTCTGTCAAACATATAGGCATGCGGCGGCGGATGAATCTCAATCGATACACAGGCTTCTTCCGCCGCACGAGGTCGACAATACACTGCCAGATTATATTTTTCATTCATAAAACGATATGACGAGTTTATATGTTAAGTCATCTAAAAGTGAGTGCTTTGGTGTGAAAATAGTAGAAAACAAGGTGTTAATTTTAAGAAAGAAGGAAAAGGAAAACCAAGAAATGCCGAATTGTAGAAAGTATTGTGTCAATTTTTCTTTGCTTGATAGGTATTTATTTAGATAGAGAATGATACGTTAAAGGTTTATCGAAAATTATAACTTTGATAGCTCAACAATAATATTAAATAATAGATCTTAAATTGTTCAAAAATATTTCCAAGTAATTCCTGGATATATTTGCTCCAAAAATAAAACTTGATCTGCAGAGCCACTAGCTGGATTGATTTGAACTTCCTTGAAATGCTGTAGCATAGGTAATCACAGTTTATCATGAGGAGGTCATAATTAAGGTAATCAAAATTTCGTGCCTCACGTCCGGTTTTATGACGTTATTCACATTATATTTAATGAAAAATGTTATCCAGGCATGTGTTTTTAAATATATAGGGAGATGTTTTAGTAAGTAATATTTTCCGGAGTCTGTAAGCAACATTCATGTATTAAGCTAATGTTTTATGCTGCTAATGAAATATCACAGAAAATCATTTTTCTGTGGTCATGGTGTGATATCTTAAATTTAAGAGCTTGTAGGTAATTAATGACAGTAAAAAAAAAACAATTTTTATTACGGAGGATACATGTACGTGTGATGTCATCGCAAATGAGTTCATCTAAGACGAGGCATATTCAACCAAATAGAATACAGATGTATCATTGTAATCTGTATCAGATAACTATTTTGAGTTAAAATATAATAACGTAGCCTACCAGAAAGTGCTAATTTACCGAATCATGTACGTAGACATATCACCCACTCAGCGTCACGACCTGTGGATTCTCTTTTCGATTTATCACAGCGTTCTGCAGAACAGTCACAAACAGAACATCCCTTCTTTGGTTCCAGACGTAAAAATAGGTCACAAGACCACCTGTCACTTACAAGTAGTTAGAGATCTATATTCAAGGTAGGGTTTGTGGGCATCTTCCAGAGGGTTTGACACGGTTTTCAATCCCGTTTTAACCTTAACGTACGTTTGTTAAACACGGGCACTGAACATAAATGTAGAGAGTGTGTCACTGACATAATATATGAAGAAGATGAAGATATGTAGATAGGTAGGTGGGTAGCAAATAACAATTTAAAAGCTATTAAAACAAATCTTCCGTGTTTGAAAACATTTTCTTACTCAGCCCATATGCATTACTTACAGGTGAAAATATTTTTGTGGTAAATCAATTAAGACAAAGAGACTTTTAGGTTTCTTTACAATTAACCTTTTCCATTCCAGTTATCACAACCTCTTTCTTCTATATAAAAGGAGGAGATGAAATATATGGAGACAACAAACATTATTCAAGCTGAAATGAAAAGTCCATTGAGAAATACAAAATAGGAGCAGAGCAAACACGGACATCCAAAACAACAGGGGGATCAGATGCCATAGATGCTATTAACTAAAAACATAACCAGGACACGAACCAAACACATGGTGCCAAAGCCTTTAAAAAATGCAGCTTTGGTGTCTATCCCCAGTTAGTGTCAACAAGGGCGTCCATGTAACTTAGAGTATACAATTTGTCTTCTTATCTTTTATTATAGCGGCCATTGTAATTAAACATTCTATGTTGTGTTTATTGAACAACTGAACACTGGTGATTTGACTTCTGAATTAAATGTTAAAGATAGGAAGTTTGTGATTTTTTTCGTCCACTGAGCTGTTGAAGATAACTTAACTGGAAAACATTGAAAGGGTCAAAATTAAAGCACGTTGTCTGTAATCTTCGATTAATATGCAGCTAATGAACATTTAAGTCCTGTATAGTTGACCTTCGGGTTTTTGTATAAGCATAGATATGGCAGGTAATTCACAATATCGTGTTATTAATAAGATATCTTTCATTATATGAATCGTCACTGTTTACAAACGCAAATAATAAAGACCAAATGAAATAGGGAGAATCTGTTGGTATTGGCTTTTGTTCATGAAATATATTGATATACATGTACATGTACTTGTATTGTTAATCCATGGACAAAGCCAAATTGTTTAACAATCAAACTGTTTTTTTTGTGTTCATACAATCGATTTTGTAAACAAACTATAACTATTACAAATATTAAGATTGAATCAGTTCTTCTAAGTAATGAGATAATGCACAATTTATTATTTCTAGATTTTACAATAGACATAAAATTCCTTGAAATTTCTTTGCATTGCATTTCATAGTGTGAATACAAATATGGACAAACTTGACAGCTATTATGTCACATTTATTCTTCTGAATTATGAATTTGTTCAATATACATATATGATATAACAAATGAAATACTTACATTGTCAGAAAGAAAAAAATAATGAACTACATACAATGCACATGTATAATGACGAGTAAATACGACTGACTTATTAAGGATTTGCCGGGAAAAATCTGCGTTAGAAATTGCTGCAATTAATGGACTCGCATCTTTGAAAGAGAAAAACTAAAAAGGAAAGTACCTCATCAAGGCGTGTTCTAACAAATCAAAAATGATTTCCAGAATAGTACTGGTATTGCTTTATTTTGAAGCAATTGTCATGGAATTAATTCCTAGACAAACTACATTAAAATCCAGTCTGAGTGACAAAACAGTTGCTAGAGTTGTAAGCTAAAGGCAAGGTACAGTTTCAATTGATTTTTCTATAGACAGGGTTAAGCTTGCCTCAAGTTAATTTTAAGTGCACATGTATCAATGATGTTTCAGCCTCAGGTTGTATCATGAACTTAATATATGTTCATAAGTGTTCATTCATGATTCAACCTCTCTGCAAATGCATATACGAGTTCTTCAAAAAGCAAAGCGTATATCAAGCACACATTTAAGTCACATGTAAAAATGGAGAAGAGCAAGGTTCTATAAAATCCATTTTCCCTGACAATGTGTACAAGATTTATCTATTATTGAATATACATACATGTCTTTTAATTGTCTTTAACATGTTTAATAAATGACTTTTTTTAAACCGAGGCAGCATACTAACAAAGTGAAGCAATGTAAAAGGAATTTCAACTATTTCATTTTAAGACAGCAATATTTTACAAACATGGTCGATATAATTACTTTAATGAAACTTATATCTGGGTTGCATTTTACTGAAATGTATCCCATTTTTAAAATTAGAATATTGTTATGAAATCAATGAATACGGATAAGTCCTTTTCTTTGATTAATACAGTGGGTTCACCGAGGAAGTGACCGGTCTACAGGGCATGCTTACCCCCGTCTAAGCACCTGATCCTACCTCTAGCGTTTTTTGGGTTCCTTTTCTTTCTCTCCATATTTCAAATTCTTAACTAAATTCAAAGATGGATCATTGTTCCAATCTTATTTACATTCAAATCTTTAAATGCGAAATAGATAATCTTTTTAAAAGGCAATATTTTATGCTTGTACTAAATGTTTGTTGTTTAACGTCCCTCTAGAAAAAAATTCACTCAGAGACGCCACCAGCGAAGGTCTATACTCGGCATTCGATCATGACATTTAAGCATCAAGGGATCTTTTTTCGTGCCAACACCTACAAATGTACTGCGTCACGGGTCCTCGATTTATTCGGTCTCAAAAGGACAGATCTCTGTGTGGTATCGGCATATTCTTTTTTATATTTTCGTGGTAAGTGCGAAATATCTTCTTAAAGAAAAATATACGAAAGTAAATTAAATACAACTGTAGAAAATTAAATAAGAATGAAAATTGTAAAGCTTTTGTGTTTTCTTTGATGTAAAATGTTTATAGATGTTCATGCAATAATATTTTATTTAATCTCCGGTAATTACATACAGATAGGCAAATCAAAACATCGATTAAGTGTTAACTACAGGTATGGTCTGTCCTCCATTATCACCTTACCAATAATAACATACAATAAACTGAACATGTTTATTACAATCAATAAAATGTCAGTGACCCTAGGTAGATTCCAATCAAGAAATAAATATCATATTTTGTAAAGAAAACGTGAAGCTTTTGAACAGAAACAGACACTTTGTAGTGTAGAATGATAATGATTAAAGTATAGAAGAATGCTATACTCTTGTCCATGCCAACTTTATATTCTCATTTTTTTCACGATGTATTACATATGAAATTTACATATATAATCTTTCATTTAAGATATTTGTAAATTTTAATCCTTTTTATCAATATTAATGAACATTTAAACATTCAATACCAGTCGTAAAGGATATCTCAGGTGCATCAGAACTGAGATGTTTTGTTCTATTTCATCCTTTAGAATTTATAACTCTACTTTTCTTATTTGGGAAGTAACAGTTGTCGGAGCCATGTAAAATGAGTATAAATTAAATAAAGACATAAACGTCAGCTGCAATCATAGTTATAATTATTATGTAAACAGAGAACGGGTTATTTTAAGGTCCTGTTATCTGCATTAAGATATTTGAAAAGAATTACGTTATATAAACATAGTTTGAACGATATATATATTTTTGATCATTCTCCCCCATTGTATAATTTATACATGCGATGCATCAGTCGAAAATGATTCTGTAGGTGGTTATTATCATACCAAATAAAGCAAATAAATGGTGTCAATGATACCTCACTGGGATTGGAAATCAATCGAAAATCACGATTCTTACCTTTGGTTTATGTAAATATTACATATAAATATATATACATGTATGTACATGTATATTTATTCATATATACAATATTGATAACAATCCTACATGTGAGATGAGCTTCAAAGAATCCTTACAAAGATACAATGATACATGTACATAGCGGGCTCCAGTAAATGTTCAACCAAGCCTCTTTCTTTACTCCTCACTAAGATATTTACAGTAGTGAAGGAGAGACTTCAATAAGGGTACTGTGCAATAATATATTCAAGA